AGCCGCTTGGTGAGCGAGTTTGCGTATGCTCAGAAAAGAGTATTGACCTGAACACAAAATTGTTGGAAAGGGAGGTAGATTGTTGATAACACGGTGTGGTACATCTGTTTGTGCAACGATGCATCGTATCTTCATCGAGGACATTGTTTAGCGGGTTGATAGTTATCATGAACAACTCTAATTGACCTTAGAGCTAGCAAGATCAATGGTCTTTCGCATAAATCCATTTACTCAATGTTGCAATGCGTATTCTGTAGTCTTGTAGATGTTACAGCTACTTGTGCTGCTCAAAAAGGTCTATAAACCAATGAAATACGCTCTGTTATATTTCAGATTGCATTTGATAATCAGGCACACTATAATCGCATGACATTGCAGCCACAAACGGCGGAAGACCTTTGCAACTTCTCAGTGTCCTCAGCTGTGAGTTCAATTGACACGTTCGGACTAATGCAGCAAAGTCAGGAGGCAATAGTGGGGTGGAAGGGTGAGCGGCAAAATGATCGCACTCCATTTAGCAAGGCGCTCATTTCTGCATCAATGCTATGCTTCGCTTAACTATTTCCACAATTTTATTGCCAACAAATCATGAAAACAATTTGGAAAAGGAGACTATGTGTAGCACGTGCAGACACGAGTCGATAGAGTAGTGAAGGGTATTCATCATCCTCGATTGGCGCAAATGGCTACTCATATCACACAAAAATCGCTCATAAAGTAAATCTTGACTCTAAAAATTATACACTTGGGTTTTAACAGCATCACCGCTCTGGTGGTCTTGTGAACTTGATCGATCCACGACTTGACGTACATTTCTTTTCGAAGATCAAGCAGTAATGGGTAATTTGTACCTTCAATCAAAGCGTATCAACAAAAATTTAAAATTGGGAAGCTTTTGGTCATGAGAAAACAAATTATTGTCTTCAAATATTTACCTAGAGAATTAGTTCTACAGCGTTTGTCATATGAGGCAAAGACCACGTGGTCCTTCTCCTGATTTTCGGCGTGAAGACTTTTAGTCATTAAAGTCTGTTCGTAGTATACAAAATATGGCAGACCAAAAACGTGAAACAAATTTCAACTACAAATACGTACTAGGATCGATGAAAGTTCTTTAGTCGTTCTTATGACTTTCTAGAAATTTAATGTCGTCAGTTTGGGTAAAAATTGTAAACTCACTGAACGTCCTATAGTTTGTATAGCTTCAAAGAGATTTCAAGATTTACTTTATTAATTAGCCGAAAGTTAGAAAAATTATCGGCTCCTTGACATCGTCCAAACGTTGCCATATTTAGTCTAACCTTGTAATGTACGAGATGTGGTCTGTAAACCATAAAAAGAACGAAGAGATGTAGGCACTGGTACCCCCAAACACAGTGTATGCAAATTTTGTACTTCTTATGAATTTTACATAAAGTTTTGCAAAAATTAAATGAAAACGCAATAAATTTGAACAAAGAAATGGAAATCAAAAATTTGCTAATATAGGCACTGGCTAGGTACCCCAAACACAGTGTTATGTCATAAACTCGCTCAGAAGAAGAGTTACTAAAAAACGTGCTGGGTATCCGATGTGAGGCAATGCGTCGCTATCGTGTCAACGATGATCGGATACTCAAGGTCGATCATCTCTATAACTTCTCAAAACTTTTATGTATCTTAGAGCACTGAAGTAAACACCCGAGAAGGATTATTAAGATCACTGATTCTTGGTATCTCTAAACGAAGGTGAAGCCGTTTCGCACACGATAAAGGTAGTTGATGCATCCGCACTTTGCTTAAGCAGTTTATATACAAATTTGAAACAAAGAAATTCGTGTCGTACATATGTAGCTTCTTTTGGCAATTTGTGATTGCCATGTGGAAACTTAAGTCATCTGCGCTAGTCATAAATCAAGATTTTGAGGCGTCAAATGCCACAGTAAACTCAAGTCATGTGAAAGATCGAACACTGAATTGTCTTTTTGAGATCTTTCAATCATTCATAAATTCTATTCAAAGCTTACTAAGCTCATAAATGCAAAGTAGTAAGTAGTCTGATACTTACGACTGATAAACGCGCAAGTTAGCAATAGAATATGGTGGTAAAAACTAGCGACAGATCTCCCCAAGACCTGAATTCTCGATTCGGAAGTAGGTGATAGCCCTTTGCATCTCATGATGGTACTCTCAAGCTAATTGTTTGCCGTATTTATTACCAAGCTTGGATCAGTCGCCGTGGTGCTTGAATGTGCTAATAGCTATATCCATACTGCTTCCTTACACATATGAATGCAATGAAGTTTTAATACTGCTTAACAAGGGCACATAGTATCACCGATTATGGATACCAACTAAAGCATAAACGCAAAAGATCTATCCTCTTAGTATAGAGTACCGGGCAACCAGCACACAGATGAGAGTTTCACGCTACTTCGACGCGTATCAAATTCGCACATGACGTCAAGTAGTCTGCGCTGTAAACAAGCACAAACTGATACTGATGTACCATTATTATATTGCCGGTGTTTCTGCAATCGTACCGAATGAAATATTGAGAACGGAGCCGAGTAAAATCTTAAATGCTATGAAAGGAGCTGATTCAAACGAACAAAATGCAAGTCTGTACGTTCAGTACAGCACTGAGCTAATAGATTCAACACGTGAAGAGCCTGAACATGTGATAGCATAGCAACGAGCGACATTTGCACAGTAATGAAGCCGGAGTAAAGAGTAATCTAAGATACTTTTTAATAGAGAATTTGTCAGTTCTAAAATTGAAAGCATGAGACACTGAGGTGGTGGTTATATTGGCTGCCGTCATGCCCGTCTACTCGTAGTCTCTTTTGTGGTGGTCATGGAGAAGCCCGCTAGGGAGGCATCGATGCCATTATATCTTCATTGACGAGATTATAACGAAAAGCTTTGCTTTGATGTAGCCTTCAATACTGTAAGACAAACTGTAAGTAAAGCCCGTCTGAAGACAAAATAACCAAATGGCGTTATGAAGAGTGTAGCTACTTAAGCACGTTCGTATTATTGACAAATCGATATAGCGGTAAACATTTTTTGTCAGTAAATGAGTATGCCATCCTAATAGTCGCATCGTGACACCTATCACAGATAACTAGATCTTGCACTTAATGTACCGCTGTCCTTCACAATTACCCTCTCCATACTATTTCCATAATAAACATACAACTCAGGAATTTTCTAGATCCTCCAAACGACATCGAAACCCCTGCACAATTTCCATGTCGTGTAGAGCACGTCGCTCGGGAGGAGGAAAAAACCATGATGCCCGCATGCCGTCCGTTCCGCAAATGACGCTTAAGTGTCGCTCAAGTCTCGAGGTCGACTTGTCTCCACCACGACGAGCAGCAAGTTGGTCGGCAATCAGAGTAAATAACGGATCCTGATAAATATTGTACAATTCCATTGCGAGCATGAGAGAGCAAAAGAGTCCAAACACCGCTGCAGCCGCCAGGATCCAGCCACCTAATTTTCCCGGAAATTGATCTCTCTGTAGCCCACACGTATATTTTCCACGCGAACACATTGCGTACTCCATCAGTACTAGCGAAGACGCTTGTACGCTTGTAGCTGTTACGTACAGCAATAGCAACAGAAAAGCCTTCTGGTTTCCTATGCCCACGCAATTGTTGACCCAAGGACTGATGGTAAAACACATACAGTCACCTCATACCAACTCATAAAATAATTGACATTGTCTCACCAGTGATGATCCTGCAGTACAATGCATCGCCTGCAAGTGTGACAATGCGTGGCCCTGTGCATATCAAAGCATTCACCTCTCAAACTTTTTGAATATCTTTGTGCTACCCTTAACGCACCTAGTTGGTCGATAAATGCCACACTCGTCACAATAAAGCAGTAGCGAGCCATCGTCCTCGCACTCTTCGTATTCATTCAATTGCATCTCCTCCTCAATCTCCTCCACGTCATCATCAGCATCATCATCCTCATCCTCTGCTACAGAAGGCGGAAGTCCTTTCAGTTTGAAAGGAACCGTCCCCGGGTTGCTAGTAAGCACTACGATATGGCACCAGAGGCACATGGTAAAAAGCCCCGTAAACCAAATGGTCTCGGACGATCCAATCGGTGACAGCAGCCCAACCCACTGCGAAATTGACGTGAGTACTGCTCCCAGCAGCCCAATCACAAGTATCCAAGCAAAGAGCACAATCACAATACCCGCCACATCCCGCACAAACCACAGCGGACGATGAGCTACCACCTCGCTGTAGCTTCGTCGCAATGGCATAAACGCAATTTTTTTGACTTTCTTTTTACTTATAATGATATTATTTGTCAAAATTCAAATTCAAATGTAATTCATGAAAATTGCGTCTTGTCAAGCCTCTCAGGCTAATCCAGTTTAAGAGGACCGTGCCCCTAGCCTTACCATATAGCGTACGGTTAAGACCGTGATGGCTATATGACAGCAAAAAGGTCACACTGTGCAAATTTTGGTTTCATTTGGCGAAGTTGACGTACAAACACACTTGGATATAATTGCGTTTCCCTTTACATAGACACACTAATCCAACCTGCTGTTTTGAAATATGCGCTGAGAAGCATGAATGGTCTTGTTCCGTGCTGCAACGGGTTGCCGTGCATCTCGTAAAGAGAAAGTCTCTAATCGACGAGTCCCAGTTTACAACACACAGAGGGTGGATTCGTGCGCTCTACCTGTAGCGTTATATATTTGCCTCGAGTTGGTTTCTGAAGCGAACATGTTATACCAAATTGTAAATGCTTTACAATTCTCAATCATCAAACCCTAAAGCAAGTGGCTAGCAGGCTTAATGTCCCAGTGGCCTCTCTTATCCAAATAACCACCATCCCCTTCATCTGTACCAGTGAGTGTCATGATACTTAATCATACACCACACTCCGAACCTTATGAGCCTGGGTCGAAGTCCGAGGAACATTGGTGGCAATAGTGTACCTCACGTACCCATTACACCAGTTCTCACCATATGCGTATCAACGTGGGGTAAGACATTGTGCAACCTTTAACGCTTAGAAGTACAGTAGCGATTACAAAGCTTGACGGTATATTTTTGCTATTCGCCTTGTATATGATTCTCTTGTATCAATTGCAAATCTCACACTCTGAGTCGTAGCGTTTACACTCAGAGTGTGAGATTTGCAATTGATACAAGACAAGCATATACAAGGCATATAGCAAAAATATACTATCAAGCTTGGTGAATCACTGATGATACCGAGCTGAAATGCGTGATGAATTTCTGAGGAACAGTCTCGTCGGTGTCGTGAGCTTCCAGCAGGATAGTTTCTCCATTTCAATATCATTCGGAACTCAAATTTTTCGGGCTTCATCCCTAATTCGGATGTAGTCGGACTCATCAATCGCGCAAATTTGCTTGACATCGACGCGTAATGTAAATCTTACTTACATTCTTGGACATGATTATCTTGGGGCTTCATTGATTTCTCCTTTGAGATGTGGAAATCTATGAGCATACACCGCCACCCTCCTTTAACGTTAGACTTGGTTTCTACAAAGCAGGCAATTCGTACTCCATGTTGCACTTTGTTCATCACATCCATCCAGCTGACAGACAGCAGCTTTTACTGGTCGGATTGGCGGCCGTCATAGTGTATTAGCTACTACATTCAGCTTACCATTTCGATGGTGGAGCACAAAGTCATTATGATTGAAAAAGGCTGATCATCTCGCGACTGACATAAGTATTAAGGCGCAAACTTGCCAGAAGTTATGTCAGTCGTTTAATGCAACTGAGGTGGCATCCAATTCTTTTATCGTTTGCTGGACTGAATTAAGCAGACGGAATAATGTATGACCAAGACATCTACAACTCCGACAACTGTGTCGGTCGATCATAGCGCAAGAAGTTACACATAGCTGTCCAATATCCAGCGTGGTCCTGCAGTGTACATAAGAACACGCAAATGTCATACATGTAAATCTCGACAAAAGTTTACTTGTAAGACAAATGGTGTGTCGGTCTGGACCCAATTTCATTAACTTCCAGAGAAGCTACAATTTTCTTGTAGTCCTCCCGACAAGCCTCAAAGCCGTGCTTTTTAGTCCGTCTGTATCACCAGCATTTGATCGAGATGTACGTTTATACGCTGCATCATCTTATGCGACCAAACAAATCTTTGGTGTTTCGCAACTGCATCGTAAATAATGTCGAATATCTGTCACCTATCAAACTGAGGCGCCTGATGTTTCTGGGTACAATATTTTCTTCATAGATGCATAAGTCCTTAGTAATCTTGTTGGAACTTTAAAAAAAAAATTGAAATAAATTACAACAAGATTTTTCGGTATAGCTCCGCGATCCCAAGTCGGCAATAAATTTGTTCAACGAGGATCATGTACTTGTGAAAGTTGACATGATGGTCGAATTTTGCATCAGGCTACGCATGTTTGTCGAATCGATGGTGCGATGTGGTGGTATCGCATCCGGTATTTGATCTAGAAGTTCATTTTTAAATTCTTACACAACCGCTCGGATTTGTGAAGACACTGATGGTTTTGCTTCTTTGCCGATTGTGGTTGATTATTCGCTTTGCAATTCCTGTATTTACCCTTTAATGGTTGACATTTCGACCTTCACAACTTTTTTCAATACCAATCGACCTTAGGAAAATTGAAAATGTCTTTACAAGAGTTACTTTAAGGCTTTGGATCTCAAAATGCATCGCGTCATTTCCGAGTTTCTGAATGCACATCCAACCATTTCGAGTGTCTCGACGTCTAGAACAACTTCCTTAACATCAAAATTTTGACACGTTCTTATTCTCCGATTCCCGTTTGATAACGTTTTTTATCGTACTGCATAGCCTTGGCTTCCGTAATGAAGCTGAATGTTTCCATGATGGCGTTCTGGTGCCCGCTCTGTGTCTGTTTGTCGCTAGACTGTTGACATCGAGCTACAATATGGTCGTTTCCGCTTCCACGACTAAAGCTAGTGGCTTTTCAGTGCATGCTTTCTTAGGCCTAACTTAATTCTTTGTAAATACTTCATCCGCGTGTGCCCGTGGCGTTAGTACCCGCTTCGGGTGGTTTTACTTTAGACAGGCAAAAAGTATCGACACCTAGGTACTAAGGTATTCGCGAGGCTCATGATTTCACTCCTAGGTAGACCAGTTTGTGAGCGTAATTAGCGCGGACTCTTTGAGTCAAAGCTTCATCTCTGTCCGGTGCACGGCAAATTTGTCGCAGTGGGTATTAGAGTCTGGCTGATGTTTCCACCTGTGTACTCTTTGAGTCAAAGCTTCATCTCTGTCCGGTGCACGGCTAATTTGTCGCAGTGGGTATCAGAGTCTGGCTGATGTTTCCACCTGTGTAAATGTCTTGTCGCGTTCCACTTTATTCTCAATAGACTTGCGTATAGTGAAAAGATGACAACATGCAGTGAGAGCGGATTCACTGTTTCTTATTGGCAGTTTGTAATACCCATCTTTGTATGGTGTCCTATGAGTCTAAAGTTGTCGTGCACACATCGTGGTGGAGGAGGGGTAACGAAGTACGTACTGCGAGATGGTGTACGTACAGCTTTCACCATTAGAACTATTCCTACGGACTTGAAGTCAAGCTCAGAAGTATCAATATATGGCGCTGTGCTGAAATATCAGGACAATGTAAGTGCGGATGAGGGGGTAGTACTTTGTGGGATGTCCTTGAGACACGTTGACGCAACTTACAGGATTTTTACTCTCAACGATACCAGAACAGATTGACTTCATTCAATAATGCATTTTTGAATAAGAAGAACAAATTGAGGACTTAGCTATAAACGCTCTCAAGATCGCGCTTGGATGAAGCGTAAGAGCTATTCTCAATGATTTTACAAATCAGGTATCGTTAAGTCAAAGCGTCGTCAATGGGAGAAGAACGGCAACCCTGTTCCAGTATGCGCTGTGATAAGTTATTTGCTAGAAAAAAGCAGATGGATTCGGCGCGAACGAAAGTTCATTCCCGGGGCTGCTTAATTGGGTAGTATGGTCTGCATGATGATTTTGTGGAAATCATGTTGAGTATGAGAGCTTCTTCGGGAAAATAGCAATGCGTGACGAGCAGCAATCAGTTCTAATCAAGAAACTTCACGGTAAGATTGCTTGCTCCTCCATCTCTGATTTGTAAAAGTTTGCTACTCATGCAATTGGCAAAATTGCCACACTTAATAGCTTTAGTCATGGAAAGATTATGGTACTTGGATACAAATTCGCAATAATCACCAAAGGATAGCCACCATATTAAATATCCGACAATTTGAAGTTTAATCCACATGAAGTGCTAATTCTTCCGTTGTTAAATTGTTTTTCGTGCGCTGTAATTGCTAAGGTTCCCAATCTACGACTTAGTTAATGACGCGACTAAAAAAAACCCTCCAGAATTGGAAAATTTCCGCCTGCGAGAATAAACGACCTTTTTGACATGCCGAAACACATGGGAATCGTTGACCATCTTCATGTGTTGCATCGCCACAACATCAGTACTGGCACAGATCTACCAAAACGCATGGTAGATAACCAGAATCATCCTTGTGGCGGCTTATTCAGAACGGAAGACATAATTGATTGAATCGCGAAAACTTTGAGCCAGCAGCTGTCAAAGAAGCGTGCAGAGCGATGTTGCGAAAATTAGAGACTGGAATCAGTAAAGTCTGAATCGCCGAACTCAGTTGCCTATCCAAATGTACTTTGAACGATGTCAAGCATAGTGAACGGAAGTTATTTTGAAACGGTTTGGTCTCTACGCATGTATGACTCGTCTTGTGTGGTTGTGATGTCGAGAATGGAAAAAACATCGAAGCTGACGACTAGAAGCATCTATGACATTTAGTAATACAGAACAAGATGAATGAATGATCTTCAGGTACAAATGTTGTTAATAAGCTCTGGCTGCAAAGCCATAGGTCAGATAAAGAGGTTTTAAATTCCTCTCCGAGTTTGGAAGATTCTACATTTGGCCACGCAAAAGCGCAATCCTGTCGTTGTTTTTCGCGTGTTGCCATACACAACAGCGATAGATCGCAAACGAAACCGAACGACCTAAGGTGGAATAACGTTGTATGTTCAAGATTACACTTCGGCCTACCATGTGTAATGTATCAGGCTTGGTCGTTTCGGATAAATGTCAAGAGCTCGAGACACAGCTTTAATTATTTTTTTTTAGTATGGCATTCACCAATGGTGTGCGATATTTGTACTAGTGGTGCTTACTCGTGTAACAAGCACTACAGCCTAAAACACCGAGGATTTCAATGTAGCTACGAATCCAGGTATCTATTCCATACGAAGGGTGATAAGTATCGATGAAAGAGTACATGTCGCATCATTGGTGTCAGTATTCAGCGTGAATAGTTTATCTGTTACAGTATCATCATCACCACTAGCTATACGACAAAGAAAAGAAGAGCATTACGGCAGTTTGTTTTTATATAAAGCTTTTTGTTAATGAAAATCTGTATTTAGGGAGAAGACACTTCTCAGGCTGATTGATTAGTAACTACACCACCATCCGTTCGCCGCTTTGCAACAATGACACCTCTCCACGGTGTCACTCGTGGCCACCGTTATGGGTCAATGTTTGAAGAGTCCAAATAAGTACTACTGTACCGCTTTAAGGGCAATATTGGTCAGTGTCTTCTGGAGCCAATTTCGGTGCAGCCACCAGTATGCGACACCGGTCATATCTAATCTCGATACTTACCAGCACCAACCATTTGTTTTCCGAAATCAATGTGGTATTTGCAAATATCGGTACTTATCTAACAATCGAAGAAGCAATCGACTGTATAGTTTTCATAAGGAATTTATTTTCATGCGGCCGCGATGGTGATGTGCTTCAAAAGATGGGAGATTACATTATGAAGGCAGAGGCTGAGATTATGCACAAGCTCAAATCTACCTGTTTGATCTTTAGAGATTCTTAGTGAAACCACAGATGTGTCAGCTCTTTCATTTGATAAACAATTGAGCGCTCTTAAACTGATGCCTTCGGTGTGATTTTGCTCAAACGATCATTGAATACTGAACTGTTTGAGTACAGCCACCATGAAGAGCTGCAAAATTCACCAGCTTATTCTTCGAACACTAATTGCCACATTTATGTAATTTTGTTTACGTAAAATTTGAAAAGGTATCATCATATTTGACAGGGTATTAGTTTTCAAACACACGAGCTGTTGTGTACAATTTACCATCTTTCCCGACTTTGACGACAGCATGACCGACTGTCTGTCCTTGCGAGAGCAGCAATCTTCATAGCCTCTCAGCACCCACGAGTGAACTTGGTGGATGGCGTATTTGTTTAACTGATCGCTAACGGTTACTGACGTATAATAACTGTCTGTTATATGGCTTCGTTGTCCGTTTCGTCTGGAATCTGGCTTAAAAGCTGCTCGTCACTGTCCGTCGCATCGTCGAACTATGCGCTCTCGCTAAGCATTGACTCTTTACCTCCAGAGCTATTTGATGATCCACTTACGCTGCAAAATGCTGTACCACTTGATCTGCAGCAGCGACAGGGATACGGTGCTTTAAAGCTCGAACAGAATGGAGCATTGCGACCTGGGGGTCAAGTGGCTCTCATGACACGCAGGACAGTTGGACTTATAGTTAACTATGTGGCTTTTGGAGCACTTTGTGGAGGTTTAAACAGTCTCAATATTCCTCTTTTTAGTCACTACCTACAATTACAACAATACCAGATCCGCGCAGCGTCTATGATTCTTAATACAGCATGGATGTTTAAGGCCTTTGGCGGATTCTTGACCGATAACTTAAACATATGCGGCTATCGACGAAAACCCTTGTTGATTAGCGGCTGGGTGTTGTGTCTCGCAAGTCTGCTGTGCCTCGGAACGTCAGGAATGCCTCATCCAGGAGAGGCTGAAGCAGCGTGGAGATATCTAACATTTATGCTGTTTGGTTCAATTGGATACTTTTTGGCCAATTCAGCAGCGGACGCTATCGTAGTTGAAATTGCGCAAAGAGAGCCACTTTCAATAAGAGGGCACACTCAAGTGTCAGTATTTGCAGCTCGAATGTTTGGAGCTATTATTATGAACATTTTCGTGACGGGAACGTTAAATGGATCAGCTTATGGCGGTAGTTTCTCGTGGTCGTTTAATGTAAACCAAGTATTGCTGGTAATGTCAACATGTCCAGTAATTTCCTTGGTAAGTTCAATTTGGTTCTTGTACGAGAAACCGACTAGGCAGGCAGTACCAATGTTTGCTTGTTCCGAAGAGAGATCACGTTCCGCTGCCTTTGGATACCAGCAGCAAAACCCATCGTCATTTGATCAATCAATGGGTTTAGGGAAGCGATGTCAGCTAATATGGCGACTTATCCAAAGCCGTGTTATGTGGCAGCTATTGATGTTTGAGCTTATGACAAGCTTTTGTTCGGCGATCGACTCTAGTGCCGTCCCAGCAATAGAAGCGAACTGGGTCAATATGGCCGCATGGCCGAGATCGATTGCATTCGCCGTGTGGTGCTTAGCTTTTATTGCTGGCTTATTCGCAATTCAGCGCTTTTTGCTGCAAAAACCGTGGCGGTATCTCTATTGTATTGCGACTGTCTGGGTCGTAGGTATCGACATTGTAACCGTGGCATGTACAGTTTTCAATGTGCTGCGAAATCGAAGTTTCTGGCTATATATGCGAGTTCTTGCAGCCCCGGCGGTAGCTTTGCGATTCATTGTCCAACTGTTACCGATTGTGGAGCTTGCTCCGCGTGAAATTGAGGGGACAACTTATGGTTTGGTGATTACATTTCGTCATATGGCGATTCCATTGGGCGTTACAGCTTACAATACTATAGGTTCGTACTTTTCAGTCTCACAAGAAGATGTACACCGCGACTCTGGTGCTACCCGAGTGCAGGTTACATTTACGTATCTTATTGCGTGGACATTTCAGCTCATAAGTATCGCATTTTTGGGATTACTTCCCCGCCAAAAACTTGAAGTACAGCAGCTTCGTTATTATGGAGGGTACAGTATTTTCGGAGGATGGCTCGTGGTTGTTGTACTCTTTAGCGTGCTTACTTACGAGACGATTGCTAGCGTATTGTCGCTGTTTGAAAGTACATCCTGCCTTCGAATGACTGGTGGTACGGGATGTGGAAAATGATAGAGAACTTCTGGCTGGTTTGGAAAGAATTTTGTCATATTTATTAATTTGTCAATCCAATATAGAAATGCGTTTCTTTCCTCTTCTCCAATATAATCGTCGTAACAATTTTGCAATGTTTACTAAATAGATTTGAATATGCAAAATTGGATTTCTGTTTTTCCACACTTTTTTTGCGTATTCATACGTATATTTTCACTAAGAAATCACTAGCATACCGGTATTTATTGGAATTACAATCAATATGGCTTTTAAATCTACAAGCCAGTTAGTGTCCTAAGTTGCCATGTGCACCACCATGACATGAAGCAAACACGAAGTTAGTCAAAAGCAACAGACAACCATTTTTAAGAGAAGCAAAAAAGTTCTGTTTTGTAATTCCCTTTCAACAAGAATAAAAACTGCAAGCGCGATCTTTCATTGCAGCAAAATGGACGAGCAGGTAGCAAATGGGCACACGTCTGAAATGCTGGAAGAGATGATCAAGGCTACTCACCACCTGGATGATATTCTTCAACGACTTTGTGACGCCAATATTTCATCAAATGAGCAGACAAACGGTCTAGACAATGCCAGTGAAACAAGCGAGGAAGGTGATGTCCAATTTACCGACTGCAGCGAAAATTTCAACAGTGACGACATTCCAGTGACATCGACATCATACTTTGAGGTATTTTATTGTTTAATTCTATGTCGTGCCCGTAACTTATTCTTGGCTAATGACATGATTGAGTAGAGCATCAGGAAAGCGTTTCATGGTGCTGGTGGAAAAACATTGAAAATCGCAAATTCGACTGAAAGCACGAAAAGCTTATTTGAGTCTTTAGTCGGAGATTTGTTGATTCGATTTGCTACATGTACGCGAGAAACGTCGTTTGTGTTCAATTCTCAGCCACTCACAATTCGTGGCGATGACGTTGAGACATCTTCACCACTAGAGTCAAATTTATCGTTCAGTGAGTTCGTTTCTCGCTTGAAGCAGCAAATCATTACGTGCGATCATATTGTACCTACGGAACGCGCGAATGAAGCTTCGCAGTTGGCGTTTCTGCTATTAGAAATGCAACAGCGACGTCTGCTGGGTGCAATTAGCAATCACTTTCCATATCAACGAGATTCAGTTTATTGGGTACAGAGTTATCGTGTGTGTGAGGTGAGGTTTCTCACAGAAATAACGTTTTGGTTTCGTTTTGGTTTCATCTGAATTCATGCTAATGTATGAGCAGGTTGTTGTTCAAGAAACTGAACAGAATCACCAGTGGGGACTGCAGATAAAGCTAAATGTGACGTCACATCTTCAAGCGCGAGTTGATGAAAAGTTTACGCAAGGAAATGATAATGAAATATCTGTCGAAAGCGATCCACAACTCTCTTCTTGTACGCATTGTCAGGTATTTCTTCCGAAAACATGTTATTTAGGCACTTTCAGCAGGAATGCAGCCTTTCAAACGTCAATAGCTGTTGAGCTCGAATTATACGATCCAAAGGCGGGTGATTCACGCTCTAACGAGTCAAAAAAGCATAGAGATTGTGAAAACCGAATGAAATGTAGTAAAGCTGCGGACGATAATGCATTAAGCCCGATGGAAATGCCAGAGATGATCGAAGTATCAATGTGGGGATCACTTCATGAAAATCCTATCTTAAACAATCCAAGCATAAACCCACCGGTGTCAAAATCGAGGTTTTTTCAACGGGTCGACTTCAAATCGGTAAGTTCTTCGAAGGAGCTAAACGAAAATGAATCTCGATTGCTAACTTTTGGCAGCCATTTCCAAGGAATCGAATTGTACAAGCTGCTTGCGGCCGCTTTCATACCCTTTTTCTCAACGATACAGGGCTACTTTTTGCTTACGGACACACAGTAGATGGAGCGCTGGGTCTTGGAAATAATTCAGTAGATTTTGTTGCTCAACCTACTCTGGTTGATTTCTTTCTCAAAAATTTAATTATTATTCAAAGTGTTTCTTGTGGTGGAGATCAACTCGCTGGAGCACATTCTGCAGCTGTCAGTCAGAAAGGAGAACTTTACACATGGGGAGTGGGAATTACTTTAGGAAATGGGACGCTTAGAAGTGCTTCGACGCCTCAGAAAATAAACCTACCTTCGGTCGAAAGAAGAGCAGATCCCGCTGATGTAGCGAAACCAGTCACCATGGCAGCCTCTGTCTCCTGTGGAAGCGGTTTTTGTGTCGCTTTGACACGTGACGGATACGCTTTTTCGTGGGGAAAGTGGAGCAACGGTCGTCTTGGACTTGGTAGGATACCAGTCATTGCTCGAACTTCTCGACGACATGGAGGTGGAGCCATTCGAAAGCAGTTTCAGTCATTTCAATTGACTCCAAAATTGATTAAAAATGTACACTCTGCTCAAGGAGATTCAAAAACACTTATACAGCCATTGTTTTCAAGAATCGCTTGTGGTGATGGCCACTGCATTGGTCTTACAAGAAGTGGTGCGCTTGTAACATGGGGCAGAGGAAATAGTGGCCAACAAGGCCGAGGTCTTGTTTGTGATGCTCTTACTCCTACGCTTGTGCTTGGGGATCGTTCGCAAATGCGATGGCGTGATGTTGCCGCTGGTGAGAATTGGAGTATGGCCCTTTCCATTAATGGACAGATTTGGTCGTGGGGTGCGTGCGGTGGCGCTGTGCTCGGGCGCGGTTTATACGGCAGCCAAAAAAATGCTCTTCTAGTTGAAAAGATACTGCAGCGCCAGCAAGGGCTTCTATCGAAGTCTAGACAATCAGCTTTAGCGTCCTCATCATGCCCGAGATTCCCTCAACTCGGGTGGATGACGCCACAAATGATACCATGTTTTACTTCATCCGATTGTTGTATTTGTCGAATTAGTGCAGGAGGTCAACACGCAGCAGCTATTTCGTCCACTGGGGATCTGTACATGTGGGGTGAGAATTATTTAGACAACACTGATGTGACCGGTCTCGTTCTTTCCAGCATACCGACGCTTGTAAACTCTGGACAGCAAGTAAGAGAGGAAGAAATGAATATTGAAAATGTGATGGACATCGGAACCCACAGTGTTGAAGACGTGGTGTGTGGCGGTCACCAGACAATTGTCTTGACTTCAAACAGTTTTCTTGCTCGATCCCTGACGAAATTGTATCGCCATATCCTCGCACTGGAAAAACATTTTGATCATACCCGTATCACTGGTGTCGATCTCATTTTAATAGTTTCAGGCCAGCGTCTTCTAGCTCACAAGGTGCTGCTCGCTCAGCGAAGCCCTGTATTGCGTAAGCTTATCCTCGACGAGGAGCAACAGTACGGAAGTCAACGCACGGCGAGTGATGGTGATGATATAATGGAGCTTTTACTACCAACGCTTCGAGTGGATGTGGCTCGACCATTGCTGGAATATATCTATACGGACGACTTTAAAATAGAAGCGAGCAAGAAGTCGTACTACTTGCTGCACGACGTGCTACGAGCTTCGAAACTATACAAGCTTCCTAGTCTAGCTCTGCTTTGTCGCCAGCGAATATTGTCGACGTCTCCATCCTCCCTTTCCGGTACTTCAGTTTCTTCTCCTGGTGTGAGCAATGAAGGCAATCTGAGTGATACAAACAGCGAAGAAGATGGCGAAACGACTGACCAATATGGTAATACTGAGGTCACTCGTACGCTCAATGACGATATGAAGTTCGCTCTAAGTGACCCGATTTTAGCTGATACGATACTTATAGCAGAAGAACGCAGTATTCTTGTGCACCGTTACATGCTGATTGCCCGAAGTGAATATTTTCGCGCCGTGCTTGAATTTCGTCGTTCCACAGCGCAGAAGGTGCAAATTATGCATGCTGAGAAGAAAATGGCAGTCGTCCATGTAGAAGACTCGTATGCTAGTATTGTGCGAGTTCTTCGCTTCATTTACTTCGATCAAGTTACTCTACCGAAGCTCAAACAAAAAGACGCTGATGCTGTAAGCATTTCATTAAAGATTCATGATGAGTGTGACAGCGAAGCCGATGTGAACGATCAACTCTTGGAAGATCTTGTAGCTGCGGACAAGTACGGATTGGAGCGAATGAAGCGACTATGCGAACATGCGATACGTGTCAATTCAAAGAATTGCCTTGAAGTGCTAGCAGTAGCCGAATTAGTACATGCCGCACACCTGAAGCAAGTCGCGATGCGATTTGTGCAGAATAATCTTGCAGATTTTATACTTCGACAAGACGAGTTTCAACGATTTCGAAAAGACTTCCCTCAATTGCTTGAGGAATTATATGCCACTCTGCGCGATGCAAGTCGAGACGAATTTCTCCTGCAAGTGAGTATTCTTTCCTATTTTACTAGCAAGGTCTTAAGCTCATACGTATACCAATTAGAAATGGCATGCGGACGTAGTCAAAATTTTGGCTGCTCAACGCGAGGAAAAAGAAGTGCAATGCGTAAAAGCGTCGGATACTGTAAAAATTCCATGGCTTTCACTGTGCTTAGCTATAGCGTTTGGCACTTCCTACTTGTCTGTCATGCATGCTCAAGAGTACGAATATTCATCGGTTCCTGCTACCAACTTGGTGGCAATTGTCACTCTTGTTGGCGCTATCGTGATGGGATACATATGAAGTACTACAAAGCACGGAATTTTTTTTGCGAAATTTACAGGTTGCTTGGTAGATCATGTAACCGATAGCTCAGACAGAATACAAATGACCACGCCACTCGGTTTAGCTGTTTGTTTCCAGAGCCAAAATACGTATGTAGCACAGAAACATGCTTTTGATAGCACGAGAAACCGATAACCCTTGTGCAATGAATCATGCGCCGAAAAATTGATACAACGTATTCAAATCGTTGTGTGCCATCGCGAAGATAGCTACCATTTAACAGTAGAACGATTGAACACTTGGCTGAGATGCATATCTTGAGATTAAATTCGTCACTAAGAGAATTCTAGTTCTAGATCGAGAATAAAGTGCCAGATACCACGCTCGTTAAGCTGCTTAAAGTCGCACATTGCTCAACCAACAATATAGTTGAGCAGCAGCGCACCCCGTGAAAGTCCAACGATAACCGAGAATTACAGATCGACATTACGAGAATGGTCAGCAGTTCGATGTGCTCGCTTTTGCAATTGACGCTTATCTTGTCTTTAATGAACTAACACAACTTGCGTAAAGCCGTCGTATTGCGTGAATTTCAACCAAAGCACCAGGACCCCGTCAGTTTCATCAGTTTAAGCAAAGTAAGTAGAAATCCGTCAGAACAGGTGCAGATTCGTTTCATCTGATTGAATGTCGTACCCATGCATGTCGCCTCTTTTGGTAATATGTATTGATGAAGTTCAGATCTCCATTTCTATCAAAGCAGCATAATCATTGTTCGTGGATTATAGTAATTGTTTTGCCAACGATTGAGGAGTTTGACTAGGGTCCATATATACCGATAGGTTCGAGGTTGCTCCAACAAAAGGACTGGCTGTACTCAAAGGAGCAGTAGCTTTGATTCGCGAGTGCCGTTTTGATGGCTTGCCCTTACTTGAACGTTCGGGCCAATTCTCTTCGCAAAACAAATGAGCTGCGTCTAGATAGGTCGTCCACGCGTCTCGATTCTGGGCGTCGTAGACACGGGGAGGTATATCGTTGTGAAGTAAAGCATCTATAATGACAGTGACGTTGCCATTAAAGTGTTGATCCATAAATTCAGCCGGTTTCTCCATCTTAAGGTGTTGATTAGCTGCACTTATGAAAAATACGGCCACCATTAAAAGCTCAGCGAGCTTTATCAATTCACAATTATTCGCCACACGTGCCAATCGCTGCTCATGAGTCAGCAATTCGAGATAAAATGTATAAGCTTTTGCCAATAGTTTTAAGTGGCGATCAGTTGCTATTGTTGTATCAATAGTATTGTCTGCGGTAATTAGCTCTCGAAGGCGACCTCGAAGCAACTTGCCTCGTGCTTCCATCACGATAGCCAGCATCAAATCAATGACATCATGCTCCTCTTTGCAGGTGAGCACCCACGATCCCACTTCCTTTAGTCTACCATACGCTGCGTTTTCTACGAGTAATGCAATGTAAAATCGCCAATACTTAAGTCGGTAGTAATCGTACTTCATTTGTCGCTGGTTCAGCTCTTCAAACTTTTTTGCCGTAGGTATGTACTCAGAGATCCAAATTGCGACGACCTGAGGGCGCTTTTTGTCAAAAATAGGTGCCATTACTTTTAGCGCTCGTGCTGCTGCATCGGACGGACCGACAACCTTTTCGGTTCTTCGCCGTGCTTGTATGGCAGCAAGTAGGGTGCTCATTTCGTCACTTTTGCATCCGCTTTGCTCGAGCGTGGAGTATAAAGTTGACAGCCAATAGACCATACGCGCTAACACATAACGAGATGGATGAAAGTATCGATCTTCATTCGGAATGGACTCAAGGGCTTCGATTATATTTAAGGCTAGCCAGCCTCGCACGAGTGTCACGTTTACTTCACGAACGGAATCGTCGCATTCAGTGTCCGATAGGAGAGCTAATATCTCGTCTCTTCGACGAGAATTGGCATGAGTCAAGTCGCCGATAATATTAACATCAAATCCTTCACTTAACGAGGTCAGCTCTGTTGTCTTTTGACTGCTGACCAAGTTGTCGACTCCTACGTCTTCGTTTTCCCCCTCCTCGTAAAAAAGTCGACAAGCTAAGCACAACGCCGACACTGATGGAGAGTCACTAATCGTAAGATCAATCCGCAATGCTTGAAGAGCATAAAACGCATGAACGAGCGCGTGCTCTCTATCCCCTTTCTGTCGAGCATCTTCTGCCTTAACAAAGCAATTGGCCATTTCTTCGGCGGTTGCATATGCCTCTGACAAATTCTGTGAATGAAGCTCGCACCATCGTTTTTTCTTCAACGTTTTACCCACCATGTACAGCAATCGAAAGTGAGTTTCGTAGGCATTTTTGTTGAGCTCACAAATTGCAAAGCTTCTTCGAAAGTACGCTAGTGCCATCAAGACTAAACGTAAGTAAGCGCTACGCGGGAATAATGCAAGATCCATTTCTTTGATCAACGAGAACTCTTGGATAAGGTTGTACAAGAGCATGCCACACTCTTCATTGCACTCGACCATTACACTTTCAAGACTCCTTAACTCTTCATCATCGTTGCTCTCATCAAACTCTGAATCTCTGGCCGACTCGCCATGCTGAGCATAGTTTTTCTCTTTGTTTTTCCTTGCAGCCTCATCAGCCAAATGCGCAGCCCTTTCAAAGCATCGTTTAGCAAATTCAATAACCCGCATGATATACGTCATCGCGAATTCTTCGATGGTAAATGTACTAGATTCAGATTCGTCTCCTAGTACAACTTGACTAATTCCTTGTGCCGAGAAAAGGGTCTTTTTGTCATTTTCGATTTCATCTGAGTGTTGATCTTGCCACTCCTTCATTTTTTTAAAGAGATCCCAGCTTGTTTTTAGGCTCTGAAATGAAATATCACTATGATCTTCTGTGATACCTCCCGATAGACGAGTTGCGTCCGTGTCCAGAATCTTGCTCGTATACCAAAGAAACGCTTTAATTCGTCTTTGCCGTCCAAGCACAGCCGCAAATGCATCCGTGGCAGCATGATATAACTCCTTCATTGTCTTTCCTAACCGAATCCACGAATCAATTCGATCTGGATGGAAATACAACACGTCATTTACCAGAAATCCCACGCGTTCTCTAACGTGTTGTTCCATTTCCGTCAACTCACCCAAACTGCCTCGTCGTTTAACGCGTCCCAGGATATAATTTGCTCCCAACAAATACCACAAATGAGTAAGGCAGCTTTCATCAAGTATCTTTGATTTAGAGTTTGCCGTCTCAATTGGGATCGGCGGAGACACAACATCTGTCAGCAACCCTCGTGGAGCCAAGTATGCCTCTAGCAGCGGATAACTAGTAGCCGGTTGAGCAGCGAGAGCAGCAAAATTTGAGTCGGCAAGGGCATTACGCAGCGCATACAGTAGCTTAAGTCGCTCTTTCTTTTGCCCGTTATTCTTTGGCTTGGAGGCTAACATAATTGGCACAGAGAAACACGCTAATCGCAGTGCGTCTTCGTGCTTAAAAGGTATGGCTGCGCTTTGGAGCGAGGCAAAAGTGGTCCCAGATTTGTGATCTTCGCATCCTGGTAGTATTTGCACATCATACAAACAGCGGTAACATTGACAAATTTCCATTTGAAAGCGCAGCTTGGCTTCTTGCTCGACTTTTTGATCGTCGACCTCTTCCAGATTGCTTTCAACCGCACTACGCGACTCAAGTTTCATTTGAACATCCGCATTTTGAGGTGTATGTCGAGACAGAATCGCGGTGCATGACTCAAGAAAGCACGATCTGCTACACGTATCGCCAACTGATCCAGTGTCAATAAGATAGCTTAAACTACAGATACCATGTTGTCCAAGTCTATCATGAAGAAGGTGAATTAAGTCAACTAGATCATTGGGAAACTTTGTCGGATCTGGCTCACAAAAACTTTCAAAGAGGAGCAAGAACAAAATGGCTCCATTGCCAAAAAGTTGTTTGGAAATCCTAACATCGCTTCGCGCCATTGTCTCCTCCTCCTCCTTCATCAATGTCCCGCATAAAGTCATAAGAGCTGTTCGTTCTATTCGCGAAATCGACAACACAAGCTTGTTGTTACTTTGAAATGCTCTGTTTATCACGCGCAATGTCTCCACGAGAACCACTCGGATGCGGTCACGACGTGTCTGTTTTTTCTTCGAAGAATGAGGTACCAGACTGGACAGTTTTTTATATTCCTTATCATTTCGCAATCGTATGTCATACAATAGATTCGAGAAAGCCTTCACTTTGAACATTCGATCGGTAATGTCGTCTTCACTAGAAAATACCTCCATATCTAATACTCTACAAGTTATCTTAAGTAGGTCGATCGGCGAACGGAAGCGCAAAATAATCGAGGGCTTCAGGCACTTCACACACAACCCACACAACAATAACCAGTGGTGTCGATTGCGTATACTCTCGCAACTATCGCTGGTCAGCTGTCTCAATACAAAATCAATCGCAGCGAGAGCATTAAAACACAAGTCCTCTTCCGGGTCATCAATTACCCTGCGTTCTTCTGTGTTAGCTTTTTCATCCAAAAATTCAATTACGGAATAAAATATAGTTAGCAGAAATAGCACTCGGTCTTCTTCCGTAAACTTTAAGCTTTCCTTGATTGACTCGAGCAACAATTCGATAAGTTTCTTTTTTGCCCCACTCTGGGTCGAATTAGAAACTGGTTCAATTCCAAACTCGTGGAGGAAGTCCGTCATCCGAGAATACTGGGCAGAAGGAAAAAAATGGTCAAGTAAAGCTGCAATGACTTGGTCGTGATTACCTTCATCAAACAAGCGTCGTGCCTCGAAGCAAACATCCGAGAATCGCAGCCCTGATATCTTCTCTTCCAAAATTGCGAGAGTGATCACATTTCCCACTTTTGAATTAGGCAGTTCGACTCGAGTGGCAGCGTGGCTGTTTTCCTTCCTTTCTTCCGAATCAAACTGTTTGTCTCTACACTTCATATAGAACTGTTGTGCCATTTGAGGATTTCCGCAACGCTCGTACATTCGTGCCATGAACCACAGTAAACGCAAAAACTCTTTTTCGGTTGGACTGCTTAGTGGATCTTCAGGGTTTTCCAGCCAGCCAAACTCAAACAGAAGCTTTTGGGCCTGACCCAATAAACTTTCCACTAATCTTCTCACCTTGCGTCCCTTCTTTCCACAGACACGCTGACGCAAAAGTCGATCAAAATGTAGTTCCAATAAAAAAAGCCGGGCGCTAAGACCTAAGCCATTCCCTCTGTAGCGACTGCTGTGACTCGCTGAATGATCTGCAATGGCGATCACTGAAGCTTGCATTTGAAGTGTGCCTTTCGCGACATCTAGTTCCCCATTCAGTGCTCTTTCTAGCCACAAGCAGACTTGATAAATGTCTTCACCATCCCTTTCAAGCCTTAAATGAGACCATTGTCCACACTGATTAAGAAAGCAACGCATCCAATCCATCACCCCACGACTTGACCAGTTTTTAGCATCATCAATAAAAGTCGCAACTTGAGATCTGGTCACACAATTTAGCGAGGATGCCATAGTCGACGCTATTTGCTCTCGAAAAGGTACCTGAGATGAACAGAGATTAACTTTTTCAGTACATGAAGCCAGCACGAAGGACGGTGTGCTTAGAAGAGTGATGTCGTTCGCATCAGATATACGAAACTCAGAACCAACAAGCTTCACGTTCAGTGGGAGCGGCCATTGGATCAAATCAGCTTCTGCACTCATCCCTTTACTTTTTTCATTCAGCACCTCTGGAAGAAAAAAATTTAAACGGTACACTAAGTCTTCTTCGCGAGCTTTCTTCACCGCAGCAGCATGTTCTTCTCGTAATCGCTCCTCGTGACGGCGGGATTTTCGCCTACTGGGATGTACCTGTGCAATGTCCCCTGAGTAGTTGGCACTGTCAAGTGTGTCGTTGTCAGACATTGCTGTGATTAAAGAAGATTCCAAAGTAGTAGTAGATATTGCGATTTCGTTGTTTTTTATGTGCTTTGATGGAGAGGGCACTGACTCTGTGTTTGCACAACTATTAACCTCTGGGTCGTTTGTGCTGCACATGTTGTTTCCAGCCGTATCAACTTCGAGCACCATTTTTTCTTCTTTAAACCCCACTTTGATATCCACCTCTGTCTGCATAACATCTGCCGTCTCACTCCTAGTCACCTCTTCAAATATCTCAAGCAATAATGTACCCAATCTCACCCACGACGGCTCGAGTAGCTCGTAGCTCCTCGCTCGCATTTTCATCTTGAGGGCATCATTCATTTCCTCTTGCAATCGTTTCCTCTTTTGCACTTCAAAATCCGCAATATTTTTTAAATGGTGCAACTTCTTCTTTGCACGGTTAAGTGCATTTAGATCTTGCACTGTCGAAGGTCTTGCTCTCTTTTTGTCAAGAGCCTTTAACGTAGCACAGTGCGGGTCGTTCTGGCGAAGGTAGCATGCCACCCTCTGGTACTCTTTCTCATCCCCAATCTGACTCAGAACCTGCACTAGCGTCTCAACCAAGGGCCAGTATGTAGCATCTACCCTAAGCCCCTCCTCCAGCGTCGTTCGTGCAAGCCACAATTTGCCCGTCTCCAAAGCGGCTGTAGCCATCTGAAACCAGACCACAACGTCTGTAGCATCCAGTGCTAATGCAGCTGCATAGTACTGCAGTGCGTTTTCAAAAGATTGCGCCTCTTGCTCCATTGTGGCTAAGTTCTTATTGCATAGATACTCGAGACGTGGACTCAGATGGATTTGACCGCCAAGGAGTTGCAGATACAGCGTCTTGGCTTGCGTTGTCTTCTGTTTCTGCTGAAACCGTAGCGCACGCTCGTAAACAGCAGCGTTATCAGCATCTTGTGCTTCCTCTGTGGCGTGCTCTTGTGCAAGGCGATCCTGATCATTGCCACCTACCACGTTTAGAGCTGCCCATGACGCCATGCGAATGTGGACTGAGTTTTGGCTTGGAATTGGAATCCAATCGAAAAGACCCACATTCTCATATTCTGAGTGATTGTTGACGTCTTTTCATGTTGTCATCTTTACACCTTACGCAAGAATACAGTGGAACGCGACAAGACATTTACACAGGTGGAAACATCAGCCAGACTCTAAATGAATTTAGCGTGATAGATGATGGTCGCTAAAAATGGCAGCCCCAATTTTGTTAAACACGCAAATGCGGGATACCCACTGCGACAAGGTTGCCGTGCACCGGACAGAGATGAAGCTTTGACTCAAAGAGTCCGCGCTAATTACGCACACAAACTGGTCTACCTTTCAAAGGTAAAACCACCCGAAGCGGGTAGTAACACCACGGGCACACGCGGATGAAGTACTAAGTTTACAAAGAATGAAGTTATGCCTAAAAAAGCATGCACTGAACTGCTCTAACTAATTCAAGAGTTGCTACTTAATGCATCTGTCTGCCCATCAGTCACTAAATGGCATTTTGATTTGGTGTCGAGCAATTCGGGCAACGGATGCCACGAAACTGAAGTGATTCATGCGCGAGCACTCACGGCGATCTATTTATGATCATATAGCACCGGAAGAAAAAAATTAATTTCATACGTTCCTCATTAGAAGGCAAAGCATATTAATCCTTGCTGTCCCAGATGCTTCAAATATCTCTATGCAATTGCGATGAGCGTTCGCTTATCACCCTCGAGATTATTCACCACTCCAGTAGAAAAGATTTGCTGTTTCGCAAGCAAATCAGCGACGTAGTCAAGTTGATCAAGTCACAATCTGATTTACCTTCTTGCTCAGTTTCCGTCGATAACACCTATCCAGTGGTCAGTCGTATAATAAGGCCGATTCTATTGCAAGTCCATGCGTCATCGCTCCCAATCAGACTGGCATTTAATTTTGAAAGTTAAATCATGGGCCAACGCATTCGTTTCAAAACAGTTCTCGTCATTATTACTGGACCGCTAAATGTCATACCAATTACACAATTTTCGCAAGGATGCCCACAGCTACGATTATGTTATTGTACTCGTTGATCGTCTCTTCAAAATGGCTCATCTAGCGATATTGAAACAGTCAACGGCAGCCGAACGTGGCTGGACTACCAGAAATTATGCATTGAATTAGGTATCACTATATTAACTAGGAGAACCTAAGGTTTTAGACATTGGCGGCTCTGCCGCAACTAAAACAATTGAATACAGTTTCAATTTAAACGGAAGAGCGTCTTCACCTTTGTTAAGAATTTAAGTTCTCTTGGGGGTAGCGGATTGCGATCCGCTACCTCGTGCTGGTTCTTGTAAAGAATGTAAGGTCGGTGACATAAGCTAGCTTCCTCTAAACAAAGAGCTACGGCAGCCCCGCTGCACTTGGTAGCACTAGTCAATCTACGCCTGAGTCGTTACGACTGACCCTCTATGAGGATAGAGCAATACCCTTATTTGCCCCAAGGCATGCAGAACGGGCTGAATTAGCTGATGTCCCTGCTTGGCCCTGAGGGCGTGGAACACCTTGTGTCGCAAGGACCCAAAGCGATAAACGCGTGCCTAGAGGCGTTCTAAAGCCATCATAAATGCTCTGTCTGAACACCAACAGCAGAAGCTGTCGGCGTCGACTGCGTCCATGACGCCACCGACGACGACGGATGACTTTTCCTGACTCAGGCCGCTCATGGTGAGCGTTATGACCTTCGATGGTAAGGATGGACAAAATCTCCTGCTCTGGGTGAGAGAGGCCGAGATGGAGATGGCATCCGCCATACTCCAGATCGAGTAATAGCGCGTGGCGCTAGCCATCGCCGAGCTCGGGGGCCGAGCGCGAGAATGGGCTCTGACGAGCGAAGCTTTGGTTGATATGGCGGTCTTTTTTTAATAGGAGGTGAAGCGTCAGCTTTTGCGAGTGTTTTCGCCGCCTCAACGGCAAATAGCGTGCGATCGCATTTCCATGCCACCCAATAGGGCAAGAGGAAATTGGTGGACATTGTCCAAGTGTCGAGAACTCTCATTGTCGGGATGGCATCCGATCCTCTCCCCGAGGTAGTCACATTAACCGTCTTTATGGAGGGCCTCCGCACTGGCGTGGTCAGAATGGAAGTCATCCATGTACATCCGTCCTCTCTTGAAGAAGCGGTGAATGTGGTACTAAATGCCGAATTCAACTCCAAGGCGGCACGACTTGGTTGGAATGCACACCATCAGAGCTCTTCGAGCGGGCCTGAGACAATGGATTTCAGCTATGCTGAGAAAGAGGGAAAGCTCCGAGCTGCCGGGCAGCGTTTAACACCCGACCGTGTTTCGTCTGCGGATACACCGGTCACCGTCAGACAGGTTGTCTTCTACGTAAGGCGCGTAAAGGTTCATCGAACCGACGTTTCGCTTCTACCCAGTCCAGTTTGTCGCGGAACACGACAAAATCCAGAAGGCGCGGGGCATCCTACTGGGGGGGAACTGAGTTGTGTTGAAGCTTATCAAGGTAGTGGGCAGCAGGACCCAGCCCCAAAGAGCTGTGTGCTCTTGAACACGGAACGTATATGCAAGCCAAGCTTGCTGGTCGTAGAAGCAACCGTGAAGGGTCTTGAGAAGCCACGAAAATCCTAATCGATTCAGGAGCGTCGAACAATTATGCTTGACGCTCCACGATCGAAGTAAGTCAGCTGTATGCCCGAGGCGCTGGACTTGTGACACTGTTCCAAGAGTTCCTGTGGAGCCTTGATGTTATTAGCAACATCCGACAAAGAGCTGCGATTTCCCCAGTCTTCGTCCAGTGGATAATGTGCAACTCCACGCGCATCAAAAGGACCTTGCCCAAGATGCCTCGGACCTCGTCCGACCATGCCACTATTGACATGCAGCAACTGCTTCAAAACGTGAGCAGTGCTCAGTGGGTTGCGTGTTACTCCACGTTCAGCGTGCTCAGACGCTTGTCCAATACACCTTCGGCGTTCGACAGTTCGGATACTCCGATATCCAGCACATTGATCGTCCCGGTCCAGTGCCCGCTCCAATAGCGCTTCTGCTTCCTAGCAGAGGTGGGTTCATGACGCACCAAAGCTCCACCAGGAGACGTGCGATCGCGCCCAGATCTTTGACCTCCAATCAATCCATGACGCATGGTATTCCGACCATGCCATACCAAGTATAAGGTCGTACCATACAGCCAAGTCTAAGACTAAGCAGCATTACACGCTATCGAAATCAAGAAACTTGACACCGTGGGCCGATGGAGCAGGGAGTAGGGACACTGGACGACGCCGAGTGCGTGTTTCCACTGGTCTCGATGAATGGAGAGGAGACAGCGAGGCCGTATGATATCTGCAAGACACTGGGCGTCGTCCTGACCCAGGGTGTGTCTACCGTAGACGATAGTGCACACCTATATACCCTTGTCAACGGTTTGACGTGAGAGGAAGACGGCGACGTCATCCTCGAGGCTATTCCCGCGGTGGATACTCTTCTTGAGCTGGACGAGATGTCCTTCGAAGACCTTGAAGGCACGTAATTTAGCCGCGGTGGTCACTTTAAGACCGAACGAGGAGATTAGCTCGTCGTCGCTTCTGGATGAAACTGTCTTGGAGGACACTAAGAGGATACTGAACGCACGAAGTGGATCGTCGATCCTGAGGGATTTTCGCTTTGATTAAAAAATTTAAACCGTCGTCTCCAAAGACCCGCCGTCGGTCCTACCTCCGGATCGAGGTGTGCGTCATGGGATCGACTTGGTTCCGGGTCCCAAGTATTGCGTAACACGCCGATACCCTACCCAAGGAGCAGTGTAGCGTCATTGACGCCTTTTTTTCGTGCGAAGCACGAGGTAGAAATGGTGCGTGAGAGCAAGTCTCCCCGTTCGACGCCCACGTTTTGTGTCGGAAAGCTGGACGGCAAGTGGTGTATCTCACGCTTACAAAAAGCTTAGCGCTGCTACCATTCCGGCATGGACGCCGATTTTTAGGGAGGATGTTCTCCAGAACAACATGGCTGGATGAAAAAGTACAGTGCACACGATTCGGTCGATGGGTATTACAAAATGCTCATGAGAGCAAGTTCTGTTCCGCTGATAGCGGTGAGTACTCCGAGCGGTATGTTCTGGAAGTGGCTGGTGATGCCCCAAGGGCTGTCAAATTTGCCAGTAACATCTAATCGTCTTGTAATGAGTTCTTCAGGTACCACTGGGCGTATGCACAGGCATACTTCGATGACATTCTCGTCCAAAGTCGTGCAGAGCACGGAAGGGCGGATGAAGAGAACCACATCGTCCATTCAAGTGCGGTGCTCGAGTGCATGCGCACGAATAATCTGTGTGCATATGCAGACAAGCGCATCTTCGGCGCCAAAGAAATCCCCTTTCTAGGGTGCTTCATCGGGAAGCGTGGCCTGCGAGCGGATCCCGCTAAGGTCAAGGCCATTATGGACTGGCCGGTTCCAGAGAACCAAAAGAACTTGCGCGAATGACATGGCCTCGCTAACTACTTGCACAAGTATAGCGCAAATCATGCGAAAATGGCACGGCCATTGTCGAATCTCCTTAAGATAGAAGTGGAATGGTGTTGGGACACCGAGCATCGGGAGGCTTTTGACAGGGTCAAGCCTGCCGTCTTCATGCAATCGGGTGATCTAGTTCGAATTTCGCCAGTTTAAGGCTGCGGAGAGGAACTACCGAGTCCACGACAAGAAATTACTTGCGATGAAGTATACACTTGTCAAGTTCAGGGGCTCACCTGCTTGGCTCAAAGCCGTTTGTGATCCACACAGATCATGTGTCGTTATGCACTGCACTGCGACTCAGTCGCCTCACCTTTCGCAGAGGATGGCCAGGTGTCTCTCATTCTTTGCAGAATATAACTTTGAGGTGAAGTAAAAGCCAGGAAAGCAGAATGCTTTGACTGATGCGCTGTCACGACGGTGACGTTGTCAGTGACGGATTTGATCCGCGCCGCATACGCGGGTGATGGTATGTGTATAGCGCTGCTACAGACTCTCGGGGGGCAAGGAGTTTATAAACTCGGACAAGAAATTGTCGGCGTGATTGCGCACACGGTTACACCGATATTCAATATAACGCCTTGCGATATTACTGCACTGATTCGACGAATACAACACGGATTGTGGTTCCTCACGATGAGATTTTGACAAACTATATCCTCTATGAGACCCACGACACCCCACTCAGTGGTCATCTCGGTTCTATCTCTTTGAGTCGCCACTACTGGTGGTCCATGCTATACAAATGGACGAGCACCTATGTGCGCACGTGTGATACGAGTCAAAGGGTGAAACCTTATCCGGATGCGGCAGCGCCGCTGAACAATTTGCCGGTATCCTCCGGGTATTAGCAGTCCATGACTTTGGACTTTGCGTTTGGCCTACTGAAGGACTCGGTGGGCAACACTGGGGTCGTGGTCTTCGTCGACCGTTTGAGCAAGATGACTCATCTTGCGGCAGTTTCGGACACCATCGACGATGTTGGCACAGCGATGCTGTTTGTGGATCGTGTCTTCCAACAACATGGACTCTCGGAGTCAATCGTTTCTGACGGAGCCCCACGCTTCACTGGGAAGTTTTGGTCGAGAATCCTCACGGTGCTGGGCACCAAGTTGATAATGTCAACAGCGGACCATCCACGGACAGATGGTCAAAATAAGCATGTGAATCGCGTTGAAGAGGACCTCTTTTGCAGCGATTGCGCTGAGACTTCAAGGTGCTGGAGCGCCATGCTGCCACTCGTAGAGTTTGCTCTGAACAATGCAGTGCATTTGTCTACCGGCTACTCGCCGTTTTATGCGAACGAACTCGTTCATTTTCTTGTCCCACTGATGCCGCCAATCCATCGTTCAGGGCTTGCTGGGGAGGAATAGCTAACCGGCTAGCCGATGTTAGCCCTCTCACTGTTGTAAAGAATTTGCTGACTTCCTGTCTGCCAGACTGAGTGTCTAACGACACGTTCGCGATGCGATGGCTTAAATTCAAAACGTGCATAAGGAATATGCAGACGGAAGAGGTGGAGGAAATGTTAGAATTTTTGAGGTCGGAGACCTGGTTTCATTAAGTGCTAAAGCAATTTTT